CATCTCTTCTTTTGCCTCTCTTCCCTTTATTTTAGCTTCTTGGTAAAGTACAAAAGGTACTTTCTAGTTTCATTTGGAAAGGAAAGAGACACACACCACCACCACCACCCCCCCTGAGGACAAATTCTTCTGAAAACAAAAAAGGAGGTATCACACTCTGTGATCTCAAAACCTACTACACAGCCATAGCGCCATAGCAATCAAAACTGCCTGGTATTGGTTCAATAACAGTTATATAAATCAGTGGAATAGAATCAGGAGCCCAGAAATCAACCAATCTGCCTATGGTCAGTTGCTATTTTACAAGGAAATAAAGCTCATTAAGTGGGGAAATGACAGTCTCTTTAACAAATAGTGCTAGAAAACATGGATATCTGTCTCCAGAAAATTGAAATAGGAACCATATATCATTCCATTCACAAAAACCAACTCAAAGTGGAACAGAGACTTAGGGGTAAAACCAAAATCTCGAAGATTATCAGAGAAAAATTAGAAAGATGTCCCTAGTCTCTGGCATGAATAGGCTAGCAAATGTAACCAAACTTGCACAACCAGGAGAGGACAAAAATGATGAATGACACCTTCTAAAAATCAAACCCCTGCGTGCATCAAAAACTTTTCCAGTAGGATAAAAAGAAAACCCACAGAGTGGGAAAAATACTTGGCAATGACATTTTAGACAAAGTAGTCATAACTAAAATTTAAAGAATACTATAGTCCCTCCACAGGGAAAAAAAAATTCTGATTACAAAATCCAGTTACAAAATTGGCAAAAGACCCGTCACTGAGGAGAATATTTGTATGACCAACAAACATGAGGAATTGTTCAAAATCACTAGCTATCAGAGAGATGCAAATCAAAACAACAATGAAGTATCATTTCAACCCAGAAGTAATAGCAAAGTTTAACAGGACATCAGACAGTAAATGTTGGCAAGGATGCTGAGAGACTGGAACTCTCATACACTCCTGGTGGGATTGCAAAATGATAACTACTTTGGAAGGCAGTTTGCCATTTCCTCGAAAAGGTGAATATAGAAATACCTTATGACCCAGCTAGTCCAGTACTGGGAATATACTTCGTGGGAATCACAGTTGAGTTTTTCGCATTATTCACAATAGCAAGAAGATGGAAATGACCCATATGCCCATCAACAAATGATTGGATAGAGAAATTGTGGTACAGTCACATGGGGGAATACTATGCAGCACTAAAGAACAAATTCCTAAAATAGCACATAAGATGGATGAATCTGGGGAAAAGGCAGAATGAAGAGAGCAAAAATAGAATTCACAGACAGTGAACACTATAAAGGATTAGAACAAGGGTGGATCAACCTGGGAAGGTTTGACTCAAGGACAATATAGTTATATTGTCAATACAGGCATGGTAGTTAGCAAATAGCAATAGGATATGTATAACTATTCACAAGGGGAGGGTGAGAAGCAGGAGGAGGAAAGAAGATGGCCGAGAAGGAGAAAGAATAGGCAAGATGCAATGGGGGCTTGAACAGGAAGGGTGCTAAATAATTATAATCAGCAATAATTGTATTAAGTGTAAGAATGATTTTATGCAAACCGGTACAGATGGGTTGGTTTTTTTTCAAACGTGATGCAGAGCTTTTTTGCAATGGGGTTTGTTGCCAGAATATAGATGTTGGTGAATACCATCACAAAACCTAAGTCTAAATGGGAATGGTATCATATATCAATGATGACATAACAGCATTGTCATCATTGGATGTGTAGATTTGGGCAACTCCACCACTACTGGCTACCTGATCTACAAATGTGGTGGGATCAACCAAAGAACCATTGAGAAATTCTTTTGTAGACCCCACCACATTTGTAGATCAGGTAGAAATTAGAGAAGGAAGATCCTGAGATGAGAAAGAGCTCCCTCTTATATGCCTGGGTCTTGGATAAACTGAAAGCTGACCGTGACTGTGACTGTGCATCACCGTTACTATCTCCTTGTGGAAATTTGAGACCAGTAAGTACTATGTGACCATCACTGATGCCCCAGGACACAGACGTTTTAAAAAGCATAATTACAGATGTATCATAGGCTGACTGTGCCATCCTAATTGTTGCTGCTGGTGTCAGTTAAGTGTGAGGCTGGTGTCTCAAAGAATGGGCAGGCCCGTGAGCGTGATCTTCTGGCTGGGTATGAAGCAACCAATTATTGGTGTTAACAAAGTAGATTCCACTGAGCCACCCTATAGCCAGAAGAGATCTAAGGAAACCATTAAGGAAGTTTACATCTACATCAAGAAAATTGTTAGGAGCCTGACACAGTACCCTCTGTGCCAGTTTCTTATTGGAATGGTGACAACATGCTGGAGCCAAATGCTAATATGCCTGGGTTCAAGGGATGGAGAGTCACCCAGGCAGTGGAAACACTGCTTGAAGCTTTGGATTGCATCCTGTAATCAACTTACCCATCTAATAAGCTCCTGCGTCTGCCTCTCCAGGATATCTGCAGGATTGGTGGTATCAGTACTGTCCCTGTGGGCAGAGTGGAGCTGGTGTTCTCAAGTCTGGCATGGTGGTCACATTTTCCTCAGTCATTGTTACTACTGAAGTAAATTCTGTTGAAATGCACCGTGAGGCTCGTTGAGTGAAGATGTGCATGGTGACAGTGTTGGCTTCAATATTAATTTAAGGTCTCTGTGAAAGATGTTTGATGTGTTAACATGGCTGGTGACAGCAAAATGACCCAGCAATGGAAGCAGCTGGCTTCACTGCGCAGGTAATCATCTTAAACCATCCTGGCCAAGTCAGTGCTGGTTATGCACCTGTGCTGGATTATCCCACGGCTCACATTGCATGCAAGTTTGCTGAGCTCAAAGAGAAGATTGATCACCATTCTGGTAAGAAGCTGGAAGCTGGCCCCAAATTCTTGAATTCTGTAACTGCTGGCATTGTTGATATGGTTCCTGGCAAGCCTGTGTGTGAGGAGAGCTTCTCTGATTACCCTCCTCTGGACCTTTTTGCTGTCCACGACATGTGACAAACTGTTGCTGACGGTGTTGTCAAAGCAGTGGACAAGAAGGCTGCTGGAGCTGGCAAGGTCGCAAAGTCTAGATGAGTATTACCCATAACACTTGCTAACCCAGTATTAATCAGTGGTGGAAGAATGACCTCACAGCTGTTTGCCTCAATTCACCATTTAAGTTTAATAGTAAAAGCCTGATTAATGATAGCAATCCATCATAAAACCTTGAGAAGAAAAGGACTGTTTTGTGGACCATTTGTTTTCTGTTTCATGTGGCAGTTTTAAATTATTAGTTTTTAAAATCAGTTCTTTTTAAATGGAAACAACGTGACCAGAATTTTTTCACAGAATTTTGAGACCCATTAAAATAAAGTTTAATGAGAAAAAAAATGATGCCGAATAGATGGGGTAAGGATATTAAAAACAAATAGATGCCACCCCGCCCCCCAATGTTACTTTGTTCTGATGGCTTTTAATAAGAATGAAGAAGGACCTTTTTCTCCTCTGACCCAAGTTTTGATCCTTTTCCTATAGTTCTGCTACTATTTGTCTGAAATATCCTGGGATGATGATGTTGTTAGGTACTGTTGTGTTGACTACAACTCATAGAGATCCTGTGAACAGCAGATCTGAACCTTGCTTATTCTATGCCCTCTTCAATACTACAGTACTCAAGTACCAATGTCAGTGCATAGTACTTGAGCCTATTGCTACAGTCACTGCATCTATCCATTTTGTGGAGAGTCTTCCTCTTCTTAGCTGACCCTTTACTTTTCCAAGCATGATGTCTTTTCTGAGGAATGACCTCTCCTAACAACATGCCCAAAGTATGTGAGACGAAGTTTCACCATCTTTTCCTCTAAGGATTACTCTGGTTTCATTTTCTCCGAGAGGTATTTGATTGTTCTTTTGACAGTCCATGGAATATTCCGTATTCTTCTCCAACGCCACACAGGGAGCTCTGGTGGCTCTGTGGCAAGAAGCTGTGCTGCAATTCCAAAGGCATGTGGTTCAAATCCACTAGCTGCTCTGCGGTAGAAAGATGGACAATCTTCTCCCGTGCAATTAAATGCCTCTGTAAACATGCTAGTGGGTTAGCCATCCGACTCAATGATACACAACAGCAACAACTCCCAACTCCTCAACTCAAAAGTGTCAGTTCCCTTTTTTTATTATCCCTATTCATTGTAAAGCTTTCAGATGCATAGCAACTAATTGAGAAGACCATAGCTTGAATCATGTACACCTTAGTCTTTAAACTGGTAGCACCTTGACAGAAGATTTTTCCAGTGCAGCATGTCTTTTGATTTTTTTGACTGCTGGTATCTAGGGTATAGATCCAAGCCGGATGAAATGGTTGACATCAGTCTTTTCTCCATTTATTATGATTTATTGCCTTTTAGCCCAGGTGAGGAATTTTGTTTTCTTACTGTTGAGATGTAATCCTTATTGAAAGCTACAGATTTTGGTGTACTCACTTTGTAGGCTGACCTCTGTTTTGGAAAGTGTTAGTTCTGAGTTCTACTGTGTGTCTTTTGAAACACTGTACTTTAATCCTGTCACTTTGCTTGATTGCATTTTTTTAAAAATGCTGTGTTTCTTAGAGTATGCAGTAGGGGGCAGTATTTTAAAAGCTATAATTCTGAATTAGTTTGACTGGTCTTACCTTCTTTTCCTCTCACTTCCCTCTAGATTTCTACTGTTTCTATATAGTAAAATCCACACAAGAGGAGATTGCCCATCCTTCTACTTACATTAGCGAAATAAAATGTTTATGTGAGTCCTTGCTGTGAATCAGTGAGTCAGAACCGACTCCTTGCTTACTCTTAGGCAGCTTTTCAGAGGTAATATAATTACATAGGAGGAGATTGCTCGTGTCTCTGCTGTGGAGCAGCTTGTGCATTCAAATCATGTGCCTTCCAGCTGGCAGTGCAATTCATTATCACTAGGCATTGAAGCATTAAGTGATTAAATAATTACCTTTTTCCATTTTTCTATTTAGAAGCAGTACCACCCAGTTGTCCATCCTTTGGATCTCAAATATGACTCTAATCCAGGTGAGTCAGTGATTATTTATGGTAAAAATAAAACATTAGCTTGTACTTCTTGTAAGTTTCTAATATTATTTGAATAGTGTCAGTATCAAAGATATCATCTCTCTGATTCTAATCCACTAGCAGACTTCCATTTTTAGCTTTTCACTTACTAAAACCCACTACTACAGAATCTCCAGCATAGGTATCATGATTCTGGACCTTCCTAAATCTCTCTCCTGACTTGGACTATTATATCACCCTCCTAACTTCTATTGAATGTATTCATACTTTATATAACCATGAAGATTTCTAATGGTTTGCAAGTACAATTCAAAGGAAAAAATAACATATAATTTATGAGATAACCACCTTTGTTCCTTTTTTTAAAAAAAACTTAATTCTATTACCATTTAGCTTATCCTCAAATAGAGAAAGAAAATACAGAGTAACAAAACTGATTTGGCTGAAAGTGTGGATCACATATATTTTTAAATATTTTAATCATCTTACTTTGGGTATGTTGCTAGGAGGTACTGTTCCTTGGAGAGGGACATGATGTTTGGAAGGATGGATGGTTGGCGAAGGAGAAGAAGCCCTCAACCAAGTGGATTGACTTGTTGATGCTGCAGTGGGCTCTTGAGTGTCAAGAAGTGTGAGGATGGCACAGGATAGAACAGAGTTCAGATCTTTTGTTGATAGGGTCGCTGTGAGTTGTACTCCACTCAGTGGCACCTAGCAACATACAACAACAGTCATCTTAGGAGACTTCTTAGCATTTGCTTTGACAATCAAAAATAATCAAAAGTGCTATTTCTGAACTGTTGTTGTTTTGTACTGTTGAGTCAGAACCATAGCTGACACTTCAGTGGGTTTTCAGAGGCAGTAAATCATACAGGAGGAGATTACCCATCTTTCTCCTGCAGAGCAGCTCGTGTATTTGCACCATATGCCTTTGTGCTGGTAGCACAGTTCCTTACCACTAAGCTACCAGATCTCCCTTTGAACTACGAGGAGGGGAAAGCATTTGGTCCTTGGGGAGTTTTTTGGTCTGAAATATTTCTACTTAGAACTTTTAGTATCTTTTTTTTTTTTTTTAAATCCTGAACTATTTTTCAGAGCTTCTTCAAGTTTATTTAAGCAAATGAGATAAACTTGGAATGGAAGTAGACACATAAAGCTGCTCTGAAATCAATTCAGATTGTGGTACTCAATGTATTTGGCAGAACTCTGGTGGCCTAGTGGTAAGAAGCTATGCTGTAATCCCAAAGGCATGTAGGTTGAATCCACCAGCTCTCTGCAAGAGAAGTATGTAAACTCCTCCTGTGCAGTTTACTGCCTCTGAAAACCCACTGGAGGGTCAGCCATGGTTTCATTCCAACTTGACAGTACCAACAACATATTTGGCAGTGAAATTGATCTAAGAACTACGTCGTGGTATACTAAAAATATGTACCTAGGTCATATTACAATGAATCATGTATACCATGTTCAAATCCTTTGAATAATATATATTTCTTTTGTTTTGAACAACTTTAAATTAAATGAGAAAAAAAATTGAATTAGTATCCTTATACAATTAACCACTTTTTTAAGATATTGTCTAAAGCAAGCTTATGACTCTCCCAAAACAAAATCATGAAAGTTAAAATTTTCTACTAAAATCCTCAGAAACCCCAGATTTTTATTCCCACTGTTACAGTTATTGCATACTTGTAGAAAATCTTATATTCCAAATTATTCAGATTTCAAAAGTGAAGAGTCAGAGGAATAATAAAAATATATCTTGGATCATTTTTTTTCTTTTTAAATAATAGCATTTTTGGTGAAAACTTTCCAGCAAATTAGGTTCTTATTTGGCAGTTTTCACACAAATTGCTTAGTCACATTAGGGGTTTTTTATAAATTGTGTCTACATTCTCTTTAATTGTGTCCTATTTCCAGGACTTTAATTATCTTTTGGGGAGTAAGGAGTTTCACTGCCACCCTGATGCCATGCAGTTTGAATCTAACAGCTTCTCTGTGGGGGAAAGATGGACAGTCTATTCCCCTACCTTGTGACTTAACAGCCTTTGAAAACCCACTATGCAAGCTGCTCAGAAATTGGTTAAAATTGCAGAACTGGATGTGTTTGGCAGAGCTCTGGGGAGAAGCTTCTCTGCAATCCAGAAGGCACGCTGGTTGAATTCATTAGCTGCTCTTCAGAAAGATGTGCAGTCTCTTCCTATGCAACTTACTGCCTCCGAAAACCTGGAGGGTCAGCTGTGGGTTAATTCCAACTCGGTTGTACTCAGCAACAACAACAACAGTGTAAAACGGCAGTACAGTTACTAGGAACTAGGTCATCGTGCACTAAAAGAAACCTAGATCTTATTACACAGTGCAGAGAGGGTGATGTATGCATAGTTTGTCACTGGATGACACAGAACAACAGGGCTTGCGTAATTTTGCTCTTAGTCTATTACTAAAGTGATAAGTTATAAAAGTTGTTAGAGTTAAACTTGGAGCCTGACTTTGTGTGAATTCCAGATCTGTCACTGAATATGAAAGAATCCTGCCTATTTATCCCTTAATATTATATTAATAAAATGAGGGAAACAACTTTATATTGACTAAAATAATACATTAAGTAGTAGTTTGTAATGTGATGTTTTATAATCCAGAAAAACCACTGCTGTTAATTCCCGCTCATAGTAGTGCTGTGTCAGGTGTCCAAAGCTGTAAATCTTTATGGAGAGTGACTGTCACATCTTTCTTTCCTGGAACAACTATTCAGTTTGGCCCACTTACCTTTTGGTAACAACCAAGTGTGATAACC